CCACTTAGAAAACAAAAACAAACTTTAGACTTAGCAGAGTCAGGACAAGCCTGAAATCTTCCCTTAGTGAAACTGGAATCTCTCTCAGGTTGAAGCCAATTGATGCTAACATATTAATCCTGAGCAGTTCACTCAATTCACCTAGAAACGTATAAAAGTTATCTGCTAATGGCTCCACCTAGGAATTGTTTACAGATCTTCAAATAGTTTTCCAAAAACACCAAGTACACCAAAACCTAAAGTGTGTAAGTTGCAATAGAAAAAGAGTAACCAGCAAGATTGTTAGATATGTTATCTATACTTCCTTGATATAGAATTGCCATTGCCTTTCACAAACTCTTATTCTGGTACTGGCATTAGAAAACAAACAGATAACTCTTTCAGCCACTAAATTCTGATAACCATTGAATGCCATTTCCCAGATCCCTATTCTCCTGGTTTTGTGATCTCCTTCCCCTATATTAGGCAAGCAGATTTAGTACAGAAAAGTGAAAGGAAAAGAATCCACAAATACTGTGTGACCATGGGCATATCACAAGATGCTCATCTGAAAAATGAGTATAATTCTTATCTAAGTGAGTTAATTCATGTAGAGTGCTTAGAGTAAGACCTAGTGCATAATGGGTGCTATTTAAATTGGGGAATCACATATCCCAGTTTGTCTGAGCTGTTCCCAATTTATGCTTGCTGTCCAGCTTCCTGCTTAGTTGTTATTCTCAAGGAGTCCTAATTTATATGTTAATTTATGTGTTCAGCCTATGTGAAAGTGGTAAAGCTGCTATTATTGTTGTCATTAATAAATTATAAACATGATTTCTGTTAGTCAAGTCTTGCTTGGCACATACACATTGAGATATTAAGATACCCTGGGTCAGAAAGTGTAACAAGAAGAGCTAACTCTTAGACACTTACTGTGTGATTTGATAAAAGTTACCTAACCTTTCTCAAACCCAATCTGACGGTTGGTTATAAAAATCTAAGGAGATAATAATATATATTAAAATGCTTTATAAATTATAGCACTTGATATAAATGAAACATAAATCTTAGAAAAAAATTTGGCTGAAGTTATCATGTTTCCATATATGCCATATTTAGATAGCCAGCATAATACTTCCACAAGCATTCTATGTACCTAATATTTCAGATGTACTACTGGATTTATAATATTAGGTTAGAATAACAGCATCACTAGGTATGGTGGTGCACACCTGTAGTCCCAGCCACTGGGGAAGATGAGGTGGGAAGATTATTTGATCCCAGGAGCTCAAGGCCAGGCTAAGCCACATAGCAACATTCTCATCTCTTAAAAAAAAAAAAAGTATTAAGGGTTCAAAATGACCTTTTTCCTCAACCATGCACTAAGAACTCTAGAATTTAGCTCTTCTTGCTTCTTGAATGACTTTGGGCACTTGAACAAGCACAAGAGAATCAATAGTTAGTGCATAGGTTTAAGTCTTTGCTTTGCCATTAATGAATTGAGTAGCAATAAGCAAGCTAACTAATGAATCTTGGTCTCAATAGGGGTAGTACTATTACAAAAAATTATTCTGAGGCATAAGTGGGATCATGATTAGAAAAGTCTTAGCACTGTGACCTTGCTATATCTGATACATAGTAAAATTTGGGTAAATGTTAGCTATGGTGTATAATTTTAAAAGTTCTTAGCAAAGCACTGAGGTGAGCTCGTATCTCCATGTTACAGTGTATTTCTCACTGTGGAGCAGAAAGAGGTCAACAAACATACAACTTAGTTCCTGACAGTAAGAAAATTCTAAATAATATCTTGAGTTTGGTAGGAAGGCAGCTGTTGACCCAGGTTGACAATATTTATTAAGTAATTAGTATATGCAAAATACTGCTAGACACAGTGGAATATTAAAAAAACTAAAAGCTGATAGTTATAAGCAGCTTATAACAATAGCAGTCTAGCAAATTACCCAGGTAAAAAGGCAGACTATAAAAGGGGTATAAGAAAGATATGATAAGTAATATTGGAGTTCAATGAACATTCTAATACTATACTGGGTTTGGAATTTTTTTATATATTTCTTTTTTTTAGGTTTCCATTTCTGTGTGAAAGGGTTGGAATTTTAAAGGTCTCATGGAGACAGGCTCATAGATGGCAACATTTTGGATTAACTCTGAGGGTTTGAATAGGCAGAAGGGAAGGCAAAAACATTCCAGGCAGAGGTGAAGAAAAGAAATAAGGACTTATTCTCAAACATCTAAGTGTTGGAGTTGAGATGTGCTATTGGTGTGAAACTTAAAAATAAGACAATACATATATATTTTTAAGAGATAAGGTCTCACACTCTTGCTCAGGCTGTAGTGCAATGGGCATAATAATAGCTCACTGTAACATCAAACTCCCGTGCTCAAGTGATAATCCTGCCTCAACCCCCCCAAGTAGCTGGGGCTACAGATGCCTGCCACCACGCCTGGCTTATTTTTTAATTTTTTTTATAGAGATGAGGTCTTGCTGTGTTGCCCAGGTTGGTCTCAAACTCCTGGCTTCAAGTAATCCTCCCACTTTGACCTCCAAAAATACTGGGATTATAGGTGCCCATCCAAGACAATAGATTTTTTTTTTTTTTTTTTGAGACAGAGTCTCGCTTTGTTACCCAGGCTAGAGTGAGTGCCATGGTGTCAGCCTAGCTCACAGCAACCTCAAACTCCTGGGCTCAAGCAATCCTCCTGCCTCAGCCTCCCAAGTAGCTGGGACTACAGGCATGCACCACCGTGCCCAGCTAATTTTTTCTATATATATTAGTTGGCCAATTAATTTCTTTCTATTTATAGTAAAGATGGGGTCTCGCTCTTGCTCAGGCTGGTTTCGAACTCCTGACCTTGAACTCCTGGCCTTGGCCTCCCAGAGTGCTAGGATTATAGGCGTGAGCCACCCTGCCTGGCCAAGACAATAGATTTTTAAGATCTCTGTATCAATTCTGTTCATGAGCATCTATAAAACAGCTACTATACACTTACTAAATTTATTGTATCATTTTTAACTGTGTTGGATGTTTTAGAGGTTAAATACATTTGAGCTATACTGAACCTTTGAAAAACCATTTGTAGCGGAACAACCTGGGTTTTTATATTGTATATATTTTCTGAATATAAACCCACAGATAATCATGTTATTTCACATTGCTGACAAATTTTGTAATAATATGACTGCTCTATAGCAAATCAGATATAATACTAAATCATGTCAATAAAACCAACTCAATAATTGAATTATTCTCTAATCCAGTGTCTTTCATCCCTTTATTTAAAATTCAACAAATATTTTGGAATATGTGCCAAGAACTGTGAATCAAGAATTAAAAATTAACTAAAATTGTAGGGCTATCTATATTGTTAATCCATTGCAAAAAAAGAAAGAAAATTGACTCATAATTCCCATGACCATGTTCTATGAACATCAAAATCTATTATGTCTGTCATTTTCACTCCATTTGAACTGATATGGTCTTTTCTAAATTGGTTTTTCTCCTTAGATAGGTTTTTTTTTTAATTTCAGAAAATGAGATTCTCTGCTTACACGTTTCAGTGTCCAGCGCATTACAAATTACAAATTATCACTATTGAAAAGCTGCATAAATGTGCATTGAGTAAAATATAGTTGCTACATTTATATAACAGCTAAATTTAGCTGTCTAGTATAAATTAAAGCTGCCAATTATTGAAAGGAATGCTTTTAATCCTGATTGCAAAGATATATGATTACTCTCTATAGAAGATTATATTTTTTTTCAGTTGGTAAAACAGATCCCTGTCCTGCGAAAGAAACATAACTAGGATTAATACATCTTCTAAAACTCCCATTTTCAACCTCAGAATCTTCACCCCTCGTGAATATGGTGTTCTGATTCTCTTTGTTATATCTTTTATAGATGTTTCACTGAATCCGCATTCACCCGAGGAAAATGTATGTGGGCCAGAGAATTTTATATTATTTTAAACAGTCCATCTGCAACTTTCCTTCAAGCTGTTTATACACATAATTAAGTAAATTATTCTGGTGGTCAACCCACCCAAGCAGAATCATTTTGGCTGAATGAGAAGCCCCCATATTAACCCAACCTACATGCCTGTCATCACGGCCCTAATGTGGGTACACTTTTACATCTAAAGCATGACATTTAAAGAGAGGGTGTAAAGAGGAGTGTTAGTTAGAAGACAGATTAAATTTTTTTTTATAGCACCCAAAGCAACAGGCAAAAGAGAACCCTGCAATAGAAGGTGGTTCTTGAGCTCTAGTCCTAGAGCTGAAAAATTCTGGGAAAGTCTTCAACTCCTTATAAAACTGTTAACAGAAGTACCTCTTCATAAATAATCTTACATGTATATCACTTCATAAGTGCAAGTAATATTATCAGTCACACCAGCAACAAAAATAATTGGATATTTTAAATAATAACTAAATCATCATTTTAAAGAGGAAAAAAGGGAAATTTGGAGTGTCAGCCTTGAACTTCTTTCAGTAGACTAGTGAGAGAATCTCGGCCTTTTTCTGCTTACAATGACTTCTATGCATACTTCTGAAATAAAGGAAAATGCCAGAAGAGCCAGGTTGTTCGCGTGTATAGGTAGTCCTACTTTGGCTATGTTGGATAACCAGAATAATGATATTGAAACAAAATATTTCCATTTGGGAAAGAGAAAGTGACCCCAAAATGTAACTGAGTAAAAATTGCTAACGTTTAGTAAAATAGGAGGGGCTACCTGGGCAGGGTAGAGAACCATCTCTTTAGCCTCGATTTCATTTTCAGGATTCCTGACAACATTTATTTTGATATAAGCGCTAACATTCAAACCTAGTGAAGCATTCAAGCTATATTGTATCCACCCAAGAATGCATCTTTCTGTATGACTCAGGTGTCTAAATAGAGAATAAATGATTTAACAACCCAAGGTTTTTTAATTTTCCCCATTGAGAATTTATTTTCTTTCATTGCACTATTGTGAGGAAGAATATTCAACACCTAATTGCCCTTTGCTCTCATAGTGATGAAACAGGTGACCTCTTGAAGTCAAATCTTGCTGAGTTTTGGTGATACTTTCCTGGGAGCAAAAGAAGAAAAGAAATCTTGCTGAGCAAATAGTATATACTATAGTGTATACTAAGCAGATAACAGCATGTACAAAATGGCGGAAGGCATTTTCTGAAACAGAGAGAACTAGAGCAACACCAGTTCTACAACTGCTCCTTCCAGCAACTTTGTGACACACACACTACACAGGTCTGTAATGCATTTCTCTCAATTTCAATGGCTTGCACATTCAAACGTGGTAGGCACTGACTGTCACTGTATTCTCCCCACTCTATTGTATTTTCCTGTACTCAAAGGGAAAGCTAGAGACATCCCTCCCTGACTAAATGGCTTCTATATCCAGGAAAACATATGACTACTATAAGGAGAGAATAAAGACCCCATTATGTCTCTATTTCTATACTTAATTTTTTCTAAAATATGAACCATACACTTGGTGAACATGGGCATTCCAACATTAGAGTTAGGTTCTTTAATTCTGTATCATTCCATTACCTACCCTCCTTCAAAGAATTCAAATTTAACATAGTCTGCAGCTTAAAAGCAGCATAAAATAAAATTTTCAGAAAATGTCATGGCAACACATCAAACATTTAATGTCAGGTTCCCTTATGTTCATTGCATTGCAAAAGGCAACCACCAATTATGCAATTTTGGGATGATATTTTACTTTGTAATTAAAACCCAGGTTCCTTGTGCTTGGTATTTGTAGAGCATATGTGCAAAGCAATTGCTCCCTGGGAAGGAAAGATGGTATCTTTGCACTTTGAAAGACCTCTGCCTACAGTGCTTTTATAAATAAGCTTTTCTCCTTTAGTAGCATTGTGTACCTAACTTCACACTTAGATGTGTTATCAAGGAATCACCAAATAGCATGCGAGCAAAAGCCCATTGTTCAGAACTTGGTGTAAATTTTATTACTAGACAGTTTCTTTGTTAAATATGACAGATATTGCCTTTATTTAATTATAATGCTGAAAACTTTATCTGATATGTTCTTAGCCTTTAATTGTTTTTCAATCATGAACTAACTGACATTTTCGGACTATTTGAATATAATTTGAATAACAATGTACCAACTGATATGATGGCTAATAAAAAGAAGATATCGGTGGAATTGCCAAAAATATATCATCTTGTTTATGGTTTCATGAGTCTCTTTTACTGTAGGTTTCCTGCAAATATGTGAGAGGCATACATTTTATTTGTCTCTTCATTTGAAGTCTATTCATCTTAGTGACCCTGTCCTATATGCTAATATCGTGGGGCTTACTTTATTCTGATACAATATAGCTTTCATCTTGCCTAAACAAATAAAAGTACTACACACATTTAAGTATTTATTGATAATTTACTATCAACCCATGGAATACTCTATCTTACTAAGATCCAATAAACTAAGGCACAATCATAAATATAGGTATTTTAACAAATGAAATACTTTAATTAGGATACTTGTGGAACCAACTATCTAGAAAACAAAATTTTTCAGTTAACCAATCTCTCCTTCTGTAATTACCCAATCTTTTTGATATTTGAACAATTTTAGGTGGAAACCATTCTTAAATATATTACATAATTTTCTACCACCTTAATCAGGGCATATTGACTGCAAAAAACATTTTTCAGAATGACTCAGGGCCATTTTTTAGCATCAATTATTAATAATTCTAATATAAGAATGACCTCAAGACATAAAGATTCAGATGGGACTATTTTCCCTGTTACTAAATGACTCCCCAAAACTGTTTTCAATTTACTGTAGCATTTTATAGTTTTTTGTTCCCTCCTATTAATAACTACTGAGAGTTAAATTTGTCTTCTTACTCTTACATTATGCATATTAGAAGCAAAATATTGCCTCCTTTTTGTAACTTCTACTCTGCTTTGGACTCAGAAAGTACATCATGAAAGATTGTTAGAACTATATATGAATCATGAGTATACAGACACTAAGGAAGGATTGAAGGAACATGTCTATCAATAAATTTATGAGCTTTCTTGTGTGGGTTTTGTAATATTAATTTAGTCTGCTCAGAAATCTTTATAGCTGAAGTACTAGTATATTATTTCAGGTAGGAGAGCTACTGGTTCACTGAGTTGTCTGTAAAATGATATCACTCTGATACAATTGATTCAAACTTCATAGAAGGCCGGTAATTTATTATTGGTTCCTAGAAAAGAGCTTTAGTAAGATGTAGTCAGTTGTTCTTTTTATTTTTCTCTTACTAGCTTTATTAAGGTATAATGACAAATAAAAATCATATATATTTACAGGATATAACATGATGTTTAGAAATATGTATACATTGTAAAATAATTAAATAAAGCTGATTAACATATCTATCACCTCACATATTTACTTGTGTATATATGTGGTGAGATAATTGAAGAACTCAATGTTCAAGCAATGTTCAAGTATACGTTATTATTAACCATAGTCACCATGTTGTACAATAGACCTCTACAACTTAACTCATCTGTCTAACCAAAACTTTGTGCCCTTTAACCAACATCTCCCTATTCCCCCCATGTTGCTTTTTTCCTAACTATAAAAGCATTTTAAGTAATAAAGAAATAAAAACAATACTAGGAAAAAGCACAGCGGATAATTGATATTTTAAAATTCTCCTTTGTGTGGTAATATACTAAATTCTAAACATGTGGCCTATTATAGGATGCTATTTAAAATAACAGGCTTATTTTGGAACCTATCCACAGTGCTGAGATAATAGAAGTGTAAGATCCCACTTATAACATAGTTCCACAGCATGGACTTTAAATGTGATGTTTTAGTAAAACTCCAACATTCGGCTAGAGTCTTATTCAAGTCTGTACAGTGTAAAATTAAGAATCAAGCACTGGAAAAATACAATAGTAGGTTCCAAACAGCTAACTTCTAGGTAGGTAATTAAAATTGGGGGAAGGGGAATGAAGAATGACTTTCATTTTATTTTCTAGATTTTTATATAGTTTAACTTTTAAAATAATATGTGAATGTATATATGTATTAGTTTTATTTGTAATCAAAATTCTTTTGATTACAAATAAAAACACACAAAAAATTACATTTCAAACAAACAGACAAAAATTTTACTTAACTCCACAAGATAGCTCAAATACAATCAGAATTTTTGCTGCTTACTTATTCCTTAAATTTATTTAGGTTGAGTGTTATATTAGTTTGCTAAGTCTTCAGTAACAAAGTACAACAGAGTAGGTTTAAACAACAGAAATTTATTGTCTTGCAATTCTGCAGACTAGCAGTTCAAAATCAACGTGTTGGCGGGATTGGTTCCTTCTGAGGGCTGTGAGGGAAAGATCTATTCCAGGTCTCTCTCTTTGGCTTGAAAATGGCTGTCTTTGCTTTCATATGGCATTCTCCCTGTATGTCTGTGTCCAAATTTCCCCTTTTTATAAGAACACCAGTCATATTGGATTAGGGTCCATCTTACTGAGCTAATTTTACTGTGATTCCCTCTATAAAGACCCCTATGTCTACAAAAACCCTAGTATTTTTAGGTACTAGGGTTATGACTTTATAAATTTGAGAAGGACTCACTTCAACCCATAAAAAATGTCAGTCCCTTCAGGCTGCTGTAATACAAATATCATAAACTAGGTAGCTTATAAACTAGAGACATTTTTTTCTCACAGTTCTGGGGGCTGGGAAGTCCAAGATCAAGGCATCAGCAGATGGGGTGTTCTGGTAATGACAACTTTCTGCTTCATAGATGGTACCTTCTTGCTGTGTCCTTACATAAGAAAAGGGAGGAGGGTCTCTCTTGGCCTCTTTTATAGGGGCACTAATTTCATTCATGAGTGCTCTGCCCTCAAGACCTAATAATTTCCTAAAGGCTTTATTTTCTATTACTATCACATATGGTATTTCAGCATATGAATTACCATGTGTTGAAAGTTAAGATTAGGAGTAGGATTTCAAAATATGAATTTTGGGGAACACAAACATTCAGATCATAGGAATGTGTCAATAATCTATATCCGTCATGGAGATCTGGTTAGTCAGACCATTTTCTGAAGCAGCTGTGGCCCCACGACTCCTCAGCCTCACTGTGCACACCTTCTCTCATCCTCTTGCTTTCTGCTCTCAACGCCTATAGAGGCGGAAGCAGCTGCAGGTTACCCTGCCAACAAGTGGTTATGACAATTCCATTTTCATACTCTTTTTATTATTTTCAGGGAAATAATTCAAAGAGTATCTGGAAAGTGTATTTCTAAAAAGACAAAAGTTTTCCTGAAAGTTGAAATTCCTGCCCACACACTTCCTACGCTGACAAAAACCAACGATTAATTTTTTTCCTTAGGAAAACATTATTGCTTGAAAACCCATTTTGTTAGGGCTGGCACAACCGTGTATTAAAAGATATTAAAACAAAAACAATCGACACATACACATACTGATGGTGGGATTCTCATTTTACTTAGTTCTAAATGATAATTTTTTTGATGAAAATGCGTATCTTTGGTTAACATCCATTTACAACTTCCTGATTTCTATTTTCTTAAGTTCTTGTGCTAAAAGATCTCAAACTTCCCATATATCTTCTTTTAAGAGAAAATGTCAAAGATAATTATTTTCATAGAATCACAAAGAAAAGAACCTTTAGTAATTAGCCAGTGCAAAGTTTCATTCCACAGGTAAAAGAACTAGACCCCAGTGGTCCCTGGGTCCTGCTTAGTTATGTTGGGTTAAACATTAGAAGCAGGTGGTCAGACAGAAGACCCCTGTCCTGCATGCCTGCTTTCATAATAGTAGTTAAAATTATTGTCTAGCTTACAAGAAGGAATCCTTACAGAATCTTTAGAAAAGTAATCAATTTGTGAGAATCTTTATTTTGTATTAGAGTTTGAGTTGTGTCTTATACTTTAAAACAAAACAAAACAAAAACCCTTCAAAATATACACCTAAATTCCAGAATGTATTTTTTTAGTTTTAAATAAAGCCTGTCATGAGAGAAGATGGAACTTACCATCAATAAGTGCACATTT